AAAAATCAATGGCTTTTTATACACCAATAATGAGTTCTCAGAAAGAGAAACTAAACAAATAATTTCATTTACCATTGCAAAAAAAATTAAGATATTTAGGAATAAACTTAACCAAAGAGGTAAATGACTTGTACTCAGAAAACTATAGGACGTTGAAAAAGAGATAGAAGAAGATATAAACAAGTGCAAAAATATTCCATGTTCATGAATTGGTAGACTCAACATACTACCAAGGCAATCTATAGATTCAATGCAATCCCTATTAAAATACCAATGGCATATTTCACAGATCTAGAACGAACACTACAAAAATGTATATGGAACCAAAAAAAGACCCTGAATAACTGCAGAAATCTTGAGAAAGAAGAACAAAGTTGCAGGGATCACAATACTAGATATCAGGTTATACTACAAAGTCATTGTAATCAAAACAGCCTGGTACTGGCACAAGAACAGGCATATAGATCAATGGAACAGATCAGAGACTCAGAAATCGACCAAGGCCATTATGCTCAATTAATATTTGACAAAGGAGACAAGGATATACAATGGAGTCAAGACAGTCTCTTTAATAAAAGCTGGTTTGGCTCAGTGGGTAGAGCATCAGCCTGTGAACTGAAGGGTCCTGGGTTTGATTCCAGTCAAGGGCACATGCCTGGGTTGTGGGCTTGATCCCCAGTGAGAGGTGTGCAGGATGATTCTCTCTCATCATTGATGTTTCTATCTCTTCCTCTCCTTTCCTCTCTGAAATCAATAAAAGATATTTTTACAAAATAGTGTTGGATAAGTTGGATAGATACATGCAAAAAAGAAAAACTGGACACCCAACTTACACCATACACAAAAATAAACTCAAGGTGGATAAAAGACCTAAATGTAAGTCAGGAAACCATAAAAGTCCTAGATGAAATCATAGGCAACAAAATCTCAGACATCTCTCAAAGCAGTATGTTTACAGATACATCTCCCAGGGCAAAGGAAGTTAAGGAGAAAATAAATGGGACTATATCAAAATAAAAAGCTTCTGCACAGCAAAAGAATTCATCAACAACACAAAAAGGGAGCCCACTGTATGGGAGAACATATTTGGCAATGATACATAGGATAAAGGGTTAATATCCAAAATATCTAAGGAAATCGTGCAACTTAATAAAAGTTTTTAATTTGCCGAAACCGGTTTGGCTCAGTGGATAGAGCGTCAGCTTGCGGACTGAAAGGTCCCAGGTTCGATTCCGGTCAAAAAATATATTTTAAAAAATAAAAAAATAAAAGTTTTTAATTGGAAGACCATCAATCCAATTTAAAAATGAGCAAAGGACCTAAATTTTCTCCAAACTGGACATACAGATGGCCAAAAGACATATGAAAAAATGCTCAAAGTCGCCCTAGCAGGTTTGGCTTTGTAGATAGAGCGCTGGCCTGCGGACTGAAGGGTCCCGGGTTTGATTCTGGTCAGGGGCACCAGCCTGGGTTACAGGCTCAATCCCCAGTAGGGGACATGCAGGAGGCAGCCAATCAATGATTCTCATCATTGATGTTTCTATGTCTCCCTCTCCTTTCCTCTCTAAAATTAATAGGAAAAAAAATGCTCAAAGTCACTGATCATCAGAGAGATGAAAATTAAAATGACAATGAGGTATCACCCCACACTTGTCAGAATGGCTACCATCAACAAATCAACAAGTGACAAGTGCTGGAGAGGATCATGGTATTATGAAAATTTAATAATAGCAGCATTATTTACAATTGCTCAGATCTGGAGGCAGCTGAAGTGCCCATCAGTAGAGGGGTAGAGAAAAGAGTTGTGGGATATTTACACAATGGAATACTATACAGCTGTAAAAAAGAAGGATCTCTTACCCTTTGAAACAGCATGGAGGGACCTGGTGAGCATCATGCTAAGTGACATAAGCCAGTCCGAGAAAGACAACTATCACATGATCTCACTCATATGTGGAATCTAATGAACCAAATAAGCTGATGAACAGAGTGGATGCGGAAACATGGAAGCATGGAACAGAGTGCAGAATCTCGGAGTGAAGGCGGGGGATGGTGGGTATTGCGAGGTAATCAAGTAAGACCATGTATGCAAATATGCATAACCCATGGGTGCAGACAGTGGTGATGGTGAGGGCCTGGGGTGGGGGGTGGGGATGGGCAGGAGGGGGCAATGGGGGAAAGAGGGGAACATATGTAATGCTTTCAACAATACAGATTTTTTAAAAAGAAGAATGTGAAATATATAAGTAAAAATACTAAATTAAATTTGATAAATTAAAACTTCATTATAATAATTAATGTATTGAGTATTCTATTCTATTGAATTTAAAACACAATTGATGCCCTAGCCAGTTTGGCTCAGTGGATGGAGTGTGAGCCTGTGGGCTAAAGGGTCCTGGGTTTGATTCTGGTCAAGGGCACATGTCTGGGTTGTGGACTCCATCCCCAGTGGGGGACATGTAGAAGGCAGCTTATCAATGATCCTCTCTCATCATTACTGTTTCTATGTCTCTCCCTCTCCCTCCCTCTCTGAAATCAATAAAAATATATTTAAAATAAATAAATAAATAAAATAAAACACAATTGATCTAAAAACACAGATAAATAAAACAATTAGTTTATGTATTAATAAAAATGACAACCAATTATATGCCATTAATTATAAGATGCAAATCAATTTTAGAGATATTGAAATGTGCCTTAGAAACCATGATATATAGTGTGTCAGACCTTGTGCTGGACGTATATAGTTATCTCTAACTCTACAACAAATCTCATCATGGCCGTGACTATTTTACAGATGAGGCTTAAAGGGGTCTCATAGGGAAAGCATTTGCCAAGAACGTTTTCATTCATTAAAGAGGAAAGTTGGAGGTTCAAAGGTCACATATCATCAGAGTTCCAGCATAATGCTAACTGATATGCTATTTCCATGACCTAGCACCTCAGGGGACACCAGTGTGTTTGCAAAGCTAAAACTTAAAAGAATTGTTGGACGCGTGCTACCAGTCATGGAGCTGTGCCTTAATTTGACTCAACACAGCAAACCTCATTTAGGTCTGGCAACTTAGATGGAACTTTGAATGGACAAGTTGTTAAATGACCCTGATAACAAGGGGGAGTCCTCGTTTATGCCCTTGAGTTAAGCAGTTGCTACAGGCAAAAGGTGCACTGGTCACCCCGCTCAGGGTGTGTGCTCTGCATGCAACTACAATGTCTCTCTTCTGTAAGAACAACGTTCCTTTGGGGGAGGCCTGGGTGATGGAGTGGGTTTCTGGGTTGTGGGTAACAGAAATCAAGGCTGGCTAACTTTAGCAAAGAAGCAACTTGGGGGGAAGGAAGAAGTTTACAGAATGGAAGGTAAAATGGAAAGAATCAGGCCTCAGGAATGGAGGTGCCAGGGCCAGTGTGGAGCGCTAGGAAGCAGACGGTACACCAGCTGGAAGTTTCTTCCTGACCCTGCCGTTGGGCTAAGTCACCTGGTGTTCAGAGTCAGACGACCAGGACAGAGCCCTGATCGGCCCTGTTTGGATTTTGTGCCCTCCCTCTTGGGGCTGTAATGGACAGTTTCCCTAGGACTGCAGAGAGGAATGTTCCCTCCAAGTAAAAATCAGAACGGGAAACAGCACATGGGGAAAAGGCTTCTGGAAAGACAACAATAACAGACCCCCACACAGAGAGGCTCCCTTTGGGGAGGGAGAGGAAAGGGCCCTGAAGAAACCCTTTCAGCACTAACCTGGAGGCTAATTCGAAGATTCATACTTGATAGGGAAATTGTTTTCAAGAATCATTTTTAATGAGTCTCACAGCAAGTAAATTGCAGTTGTAAGTGCTTGATGAGTTTTGGAACATTTGCAGCACCCATAGCTCCCTCAGGCCCCCTCCCCGCACAAGGTGACCACTCTTTTGGTCTTTATCTTGGTAAAGACATTATATAGGATAAAGAATAAGTAAAAAGGAAACGAAAAGAATGTCCAGTTTAAGTTCATTATGCTCTTATCTGACAAACAACAGTCGTCTGGGTGGTTAGAGAACTAGTTTCCCAGTACAAATCTCAATGCTATTAAATTCCATAAGAAAAATGCTTAAGCATTTTGTCAGGAATGTTAATTTCTTTCCAGAAGGAGATTCCTGTAGTAAGATTTGGCCTCAGACCAGGTCTGGGGTGATTTTCCCTTTACAGGGACAAGAGAGTGAAGAACGGAGGGGATCGGAACTGAGCCCCCATGCCCACCCTCGCTGCCTACAGCCGACGGCTTATGATACACAGACTCTTCACTTGACACTCCTAGATTGGGGTTGGGGGACCAGTGGTCAGTGTTTGATCTGTGGTGTTTGCTGTCCTCTTCCTCCACCTGTCCCAGGGGCAGAGAAGTGGACACACCAAGGGCTAGCAGGGTTTCAGCCCTTCCCCCCCCCCCAAAAGCTGTGGGGAGCCTGTGGGTTCAGGAGTTCTGATGCAACTTTCTGCTTCTCCTGCTCATTCGCTTCTCATCTGAGTGTCACCAGACAGCTGTGTGAAAGAAGAACAAAGTTCAGTGACTTTGAGCATTTTTTTATATGTCTCGTGGCCATCTGTATGTCCACTTTGGAGAAGTGTCTATTTAGGGACTTTGCTCATTTTTTAATTGGGATTGTTTGATGTTCAATTAAAGTTGAGCCCTATTACACAGCTGTCTGGTAATTATGGAGCTTGTAAGACTGTAAGGAACTCCTTGTTAAGTATCCCATTCAGTATGTATTAGTAGGGACAGACCTGAATTGCTCTAATGTTCTGGCAGAAATAGCTCTAGTGTCAAGGGGTCATTGGTTACAATTGACAGCTACCAGGTAGCACTAGCTTTAGCATCAAAGAGGAATTTATTACAATGATAAAGGGATGTCTGCAAGAATGTGAATCCCACTGAGCCCTGGGAAGGGTCTTGAGCTGGGAGCCAGAAAACCATTTGATTTCTCTGATTCTGCTCTTTTCATTTTATATCACCTTTTTCCAATGGGCTTTCTCTCCTTCTGCAATCCCTCTCACAGACTGTGGCCCCCCCAAGTTCTTTCTCCCTTGTTCCAGTCAGTCTCAGAGATTAATTCCAACAAAACAGTCAAATTAACAAATCAGGAATTTATGATGTCTCAGTTCAGATTCTCAAAAGAGCATCTGATTGGTCAAACCTGAGTTATCCGTCTTCCTCAGGCCATGGTGGAGGCAGGAA